GTTCATACCAGGCAAGGTAAGCCCTCTATGATCATATATCCTGAGAGAGGGGGACTTCCTGACATGCAAGAGTGTAGGAATGACTGAGTCAGCCAAACCTCAACCCTCAAGGCCTGGCCTTCATCAACCAAGGTGTCTAAGCCAGTGAGTGAGAAGCAGGATGGAGTCCCGGACCCTGAGATAGGAGGTCCGGGCGGTCTTTAAGTGGCCACAGGGAGTCCACCAGAAGCCAAATCTTGTCTGCATACCAAACTCTCCTGGGTCATGCGAGGACCTCGGATCATGTGAAGCAGATAAGGATCTTCCAGGGAGGAACGGAGAAGATCAGAGAGAACTGATCCCACAAAGTCACCAGAACATATGAAGGCTCGGGGGTCCCTGGACCGGATACAAACATGTCCAGGTTATTAAAGCTGCCAGGAGATCCGGATCCACCTCCCTCCAGCGGCAGCAAATCTCTTGAAACAGCTCGGGATGCAGAGACCCCTCCCCCGTGTCCACTCACTCCGCATGGGCAGATCTCCACATCCGGCACTACTTCCTGAGATGGGTGCCGGATGTGGAGATCCAGCGTCCAGGGACAAGTTCCGGCCCCATGTCTCCTGTCCGGTGGAGTCCAGGTACAGTCCCTGAAGCTGAAGATCCATGGCTGGACGCAGCAGGAACATGCATGAAGCATCACAGGAGAGAAAGGTAACTCCCCCTTAATAGAGGACACGCCCATCACAAGGACATGACCAAAAACGGGGGGTTTCCTGGAGGGGGAGGGGTTATAAGAGGGTCCGCACAGCTCTGGCCAATCACCTGGTGATACCGGCATATTACCCGGAGGTCTCTGAATCTGCCTGTGTCCTGTACTCTACCATCAACAAAAGACCACAAAGCGGATAGTTCAAGAGCCTGCATGCAAACACGCATGGGACATGTTATTAAATGTTTTCACAGATCATCTGATGCTGAGAACAGGAAGACATGTCACTGAGCTGTACCAGGGAGGAGCCTGAGCTGCGTCCTACGCAAGAGGGCGGAGCCTGAAGCCAATCCTCATATTAATGCTGATAGCCAACCATGAACGCTCACGGATTTCCCCCCTGTGTATACTGACAGCAGCCGTGAGCCGAGACCAATACAATCCCTACTGAAGCTGCAAACATGGAGCATGCTCAGTGCTGGAATCCCCAGAGGGGGCGGTAACCTACAGCAACCATTCAGAAGCAACCTGTTATAGGGTCACTCCCCCCAAAACACCGATATCAGGGGAAGTCTACTGAAAGGGTCACCTGCTCCGATATGTCCTGGGGACCCCAATCTCCTGCCATGGTTCCCCGATAATATAATATGAACCCCTCATAATGGGTACAGCGGGGGTACAGACCCGGGAACTCAGCACAGGGATGGGGGGAGCTCCTCATAATGGGCACAGCGGGTGTACAGACCCGGGAACTCAGCACAGGGATGGGGGGAGCTCCTCATAATGGGCACAGCGGGTGTACAGACCCGGGAACTCAGCACAGGGATGGGGGGAGCTCCTCATAATGGGCACAGCGGGTGTACAGACCCGGGAACTCAGCACAGGGATGGGGGGAGCTCCTCATAATGGGCACAGCGGGTGTACAGACCCGGGAACTCAGCACAGGGATGGGGGGAGCTCCTCATAATGGGCACAGCGGGTGTACAGACCCGGGAACTCAGCACAGGGATGGGGGGAGCTCCTCATAATGGGCACAGCGGGTGTACAGACCCGGGAACTCAGCACAGGGATGGGGGGAGCTCCTCATAATGGGCACAGCGGGTGTACAGACCCGGGAACTCAGCACAGGGATGGGGGGAGCTCCTCATAATGGGCACAGCGGGTGTACAGACCCGGGAACTCAGCACAGGGATGGGGGGAGCTCCTCATAATGGGCACAGCGGGTGTACAGACCCGGGAACTCAGCACAGGGATGGGGGGAGCTCCTCATAATGGGCACAGCGGGTGTACAGACCCGGGAACTCAGCACAGGGATGGGGGGAGCTCCTCATAATGGGCACAGCGGGTGTACAGACCCGGGAACTCAGCACAGGGATGGGGGGAGCTCCTCATAATGGGCACAGCGGGTGTACAGACCCGGGAACTCAGCACAGGGATGGGGGGAGCTCCTCATAATGGGCACAGCGGGTGTACAGACCCGGGAACTCAGCACAGGGATGGGGGGAGCTCCTCATAATGGGCACAGCGGGTGTACAGACCCGGGAACTCAGCACAGGGATGGGGGGAGCTCCTCATAATGGGCACAGCGGGTGTACAGACCCGGGAACTCAGCACAGGGATGGGGGGAGCTCCTCATAATGGGCACAGCGGGTGTACAGACCCGGGAACTCAGCACAGGGATGGGGGGAGCTCCTCATAATGGGCACAGCGGGTGTACAGACCCGGGAACTCAGCACAGGGATGGGGGGAGCTCCTCATAATGGGCACAGCGGGTGTACAGACCCGGGAACTCAGCACAGGGATGGGGGGAGCTCCTCATAATGGGCACAGCGGGTGTACAGACCCGGGAACTCAGCACAGGGATGGGGGGAGCTCCTCATAATGGGCACAGCGGGTGTACAGACCCGGGAACTCAGCACAGGGATGGGGGGAGCTCCTCATAATGGGCACAGCGGGTGTACAGACCCGGGAACTCAGCACAGGGATGGGGGGAGCTCCTCATAATGGGCACAGCGGGTGTACAGACCCGGGAACTCAGCACAGGGATGGGGGGAGCTCCTCATAATGGGCACAGCGGGTGTACAGACCCGGGAACTCAGCACAGGGATGGGGGGAGCTCCTCATAATGGGCACAGCGGGTGTACAGACCCGGGAACTCAGCACAGGGATGGGGGGAGCTCCTCATAATGGGCACAGCGGGTGTACAGACCCGGGAACTCAGCACAGGGATGGGGGGAGCTCCTCATAATGGGCACAGCGGGTGTACAGACCCGGGAACTCAGCACAGGGATGGGGGGAGCTCCTCATAATGGGCACAGCGGGTGTACAGACCCGGGAACTCAGCACAGGGATGGTGGGAGCTCCTCATAATGGGCACAGGGATGGTGGGAGCCCCTCAGTTCTGGGTGGAGTGACCCCATAACATTGGCTGACTGTAGTAAAGTGAGGTGGAGTTGGTTGCTATGGTTACGGCGTCATATGTCTGAAGATCTCATTGTTTAGTATTTATAATAATCACATACATTTTGTATAATCAGCAAAATAAATAAATATGAAGTGTTTGTGTTGCCCCACAGCAACCAATCAGATGAAAGCTGCACTAGAACAACATGAATGTCTGATGTAGGGCAACCCAGACAGTTGTGATTGCTGTGGATGGGTATGGAGGCGGAGTCTGGTAATGGCGGGTGGGGGTTGTGACGTACGGTTGGGTAAGTTGCACTCACACTGTTGAAGGGAAATCCTTACACGGGAATAGTTCTGGCTTCGTACCTATAATTTCCTTTTTTGCTGAGCTGCTCTTTGAAGTGCCCCAGAGTCAGGCTGTGCGCCTTCAGCATCCGCCGGTACGGGATCTCCTCCCCACACAGGAAATATGTCACCGTCAGCTCTCCGGGGGGAGGGGCGGCCGGCTGTCTCTTTGGTTCTGTTTGGCTGGAAAATAAAAAAAACCACAATGGATATCAGACTATTATAGGGCGAGAAATGTTCTGTGTGTACGACCCGATAACCCGCCACGGCCCCCTGACCGCCACGCCCCCTGACCTCCACACCTACATCATCGTGTTGGCCATCCCAATCCAAACCTTGGACAATTAGATAGAGTTGTGCCCCTCTGTGGCTATAACAGCCCCACTCAAGATTTGAGGGTGTCCGAGGGAATGTGTGCCATGTGTGAGGTCAGGTACTGATGTTGGATGAGAAGACCGTGGCTCACAGTCAGCATTCCAATTCATCCCAAAGGTGTCCAGTAGGGTTGATGTCAGGGCTCTGCAGGATCCCAGGGTTCCTCCGCCAGACTGGTCACACCATGTCTTTATGGAGCTGGCTTTGTACACAGGGGACAGTCATGGTGGAACAGAAAAGGGTCTTCACCACACTGGTCACACCATGTCTTTATGGAGCTGGCTTTGTACACGGGGGACAGTCATGTGGAACAGAAAAGGGTCTTCACCAAACTGGTCACACCGTGTCTTTATGGAGCTGGCTTTGTACACAGGGGACAGTCATGGTGGACCAGAAAAGAGTCTTCACCAAACTGGTCACACTATGTCTTTATGGAGCTGGGGTGTACACGGGGGACAGTCATGGTGGAACAGAAAAGGGTCTTCACCAAACTGGTCACACCATGTCTGTATGGAGCTGGCTTTGTACACAGAGGACAATCATGGTGGAACAGAAAAGGGTCTTCACCACACTGTGACCACAATTGTCTACAATGTCTTTGTATGATGGAGTAGTACCAGACCCCTCACTGGAGACACCTGAAGGTAGACATTGGGAGGTGGAAGGGGTCTTATACATTTGGTCATATTTCGTAGGTGAGAAGATCAGTCATAAATGTTTTGTTTCCCAAAAATCTCTGTAAACTGACCCAATAAATTTGCTGAGCGGGGGAAGTTTGTTTCCTGTACACAGAACACTTCCTGTCTCCTAAAGCCTGAGGAGAATCTGACATACAGGCAGCTGTAGTTCCGTCCCCAGAGGCATGATTTAAAAGTGCCGGACAGACGTTTTCCGCCGGGTACTCCGAGCGGTTGGGTTGGGTTGGCATTCGTGTTTCCGGCTCGGAGAAGATAAAAAATTAAATACAAAGTCTTCTCTGCGGAGGCAGCTGGGGGTCTCGGGGTCAGCCAATTAAAAATGAAAGGCGGCAGACAGGTGTCTGATGGCCGGACTTCAAAGCTGTCGGTGTTCTGAAGATGAAGAGGGCAGCGCAGAGCGGCGTTAATTATTCAGACCACTATTAGGCCCCTCTGTAGCTGCAATCCGACTTATAAAGATAGTGAGGCCCTGTAATTACACTCATCAAGGCGCTTAACTCTCCCTACACCATATGTCATCCCGATCGGCTCCTCACCACACACACAGCTCAGCAGCAACTGCTCCAGATCAGGAAATAACGTAAATACACCTTTATATGTCATAGCCATATGATGGAGGCCAGGAGCCTCCAGTGAAGGTTCTGGTGATCCTCCATCATACAAAGACATTGTAGACAATTGTGCTCTTCCAGCCTTGTGGTCACAGTTTGGTGAAGGTCCTTTTCTGTTCAACCATGACTGTCCCCTGTGTACAAAGCCAGCTCCATAAAGACATGGTGTGACCAGTTTGGTGAAGACCCTTTTCTGTTCCACTATGACTGTCCCCTGTGTACAAAGCCAGCTCCATAAAGACATGGTGTGACCAGTATGGTGAAGACCCTTTTCTGTTCCACCATGACTGTCCCCAGTGTACAAAGCCAGCTCCATAAAGACACGGTGTGACCAGTTTGGTGAAGACCCTTTTCTGTTCCACCATGACTGTCCGCTGTGTACAAAGCCAGCTCCATAAAGACATGGTGTGACCAGTGTGGTGAAGACCCTTTTCTGTTCCACCATGACTGTGCCCCGTGTACAAAGCCAGCTCCATAAAGACACGGTGTGACCAGTTTGGTGAAGACCCTTTTCTGTTCCACCATGACTGTCCCCTGTGTACAAAGCCAGCTCCATAAAGACATGGTGTGACCAGTTTGGTGAAGACCCTTTTCTGTTCCACCATGACTGTCCCCTGTGTACAAAGCCAGCTCCATAAAGACATGGTGTGACCAGTTTGGTGAAGACCCTTTTCTGTTCCACCATGACTGTCCCCTGTGTACAAAGCCAGCTCCATAAAGACATGGTGTGACCAGTTTGGTGAAGACCCTTTTCTGTTCCACCATGACTGTCCCCTGTGTACAAAGCCAGCTCCATAAAGACATGGTGTGACCAGTGTGGTGAAGACCCTTTTCTGTTCCACCATGACTGTCCCCTGTGTACAAAGCCAGCTCCATACAGACATGGTGTGACCAGTGTGGTGAAGACCCTTTTCTGTTCCACCATGACTGTCCCCTGTGTACAAAGCCAGCTCCATAAAGACATGCTGTGACCAGTGTGGTGAAGACCCTTTTCTGTTCCACCATGACTGTCCCCTGTGTACAAAGCCAGCTCCATAAAGACATGCTGTGACCAGTGTGGTGAAGACCCTTTTCTGTTCCACCATGACTGTCCCCTGTGTACAAAGCCAGCTCCATAAAGACATGGTGTGACCAGTTTGGTGAAGACCTTTTCTGTTCCCCCATGACTGTCCCCTGTGTACAAAGCCAGCTCCATAAAGACATGGTGTGACCAGTTTGGTGTGGAGGAACTCAAGAGTCCTGCACAGAGCCTTGACCTCAGCCATACTGAGCAACATTACAAGTGAGGCCTTCTCATCCAACACAAGTACCTGAACTGAGAAATTGACACAATCTTCCACCACCCTCTCCCCAAACACATCTTGCTGGAAGCCTCCCTAGAAGAGTGGAGGATGATATAGCCCCAATGAGTGACCAACTCCATAATAATGGTTATAGAGGGGGAGGGGGGACCCCATTATAATGGCCATGGTTTCAGAATGAAATTTCTAACAAGACTATATAGGTTTGAGGTCCACAATCTTTGGTCTACATAATGGACGTGCGTTGCGTTGGGCACATTGTGACTGCAGAATACAATTCTCACGCACAACCTCATTTTCCGATGCAGATATAGATCTCCCTATTCTTGGCACATTCAGGGTTTGGCGTTGCTGGCAGTTGTGGAATTAGCTCCCAGTAGATTATGGGGGGTCTAAGATCTCTCAGGGCACTGGGTCTGCTGCGAGATTCACATAGGCTGCTGATTGGCTGACTCTGCCTGAAGGTCAGTCCCAGGGATCATGTGGTCAGTGCCTTGGCTCTAGTCACATGACTGGTGGCTGGAAGGAGTCCATAGCACTGTGCTTGTGCTGGAAATCTATGTGACAGGTAACATTTCTCGGCACGGTCTGTCGGCTTTATCTGCGATCTCTGGTTACGGGGCCCTGAGCTGTGACACAAAGCCAGTTTGGGAGGAGACACAACTATGACAACACCAATGATATCACACAATTGTATATCTCAGCCACATAGTCACACATTGCTGAACTACAAATCCCAGCGACCAAAGACACTGCCATGACACAAGTGTGGACTTACAAAGATGGAAGCCGAGAAACCCGCCAGTAACTCTGCGCTTCATCTGAAATGCGATTGGCTGCTTGTCCACTGAGCTCCTCCCCCTACACCTGACAGTAATGTCTGCACAATGATGTACTCACTCTTCATGCTGGGGGGTGGAAGTTCCCGGCTGGCAGGGCACCGAATGACTCCGCTGGTGACTGCTTGATGGGCACCTGGAAGAGATATGCAGAGAGTACATGAAAACGACGCATCGAATATAAAGACATCCTAAACCCGCAACTGATCCAGAGGAAGTCACGACGACCCCGAATACTCTGACCGGAGAAACACATTCCCTCCTGATAACAGAGACATCCCCGAGATCAACATTCTACAATATGATCTCTGACCAATGGCAATAATCACCTTTATATGTCGTCCCAACACCCC